GCGGAAGGGGCGGGCCCTCTGGCAGAAGGGGCGGGGCCTCTGGCAGAAGGGGCGGGACTGGGGACCAAACTCCCCCTGTCCATCCCTTCATGGTCACAGCAGCAGCGGTGGTTAAATTGCCAGGCCCTGAAACCGATGCCCCTTTTAATGGTGGCCGGTACCAGCCCACTTCCACCCCTGCCTCAGCCCATCCCGCCCGCCCTGGAACTCCCCCATTGGTGCACGTGCGTCACTCCCCACGTTCTTGTCCTTGCAGCGGAACGTGACCCCCCGGTGCGTGTTCTGGCACGTCAGCGCCAACCGTGAGTATCTCAACCAGAGCGGGTGGTTTGGCCAGCTCCGGGGCCTCGGTGTGGGAGGGAGGGAGGCTTTAGCACCTGTGTGAAGGGAGGGAGGACCCAAGGTGCGGGGCAGGTGAGAAGCAGACCCTTCCCCTAGCTGCCCAGGCAGGGGATTGAGATCAACCACCTGACAACTGAAGATCGTATTTTAACGCCTGTGATGACACATGCTGGACCGAGTCCCGCTCCCGCTGGAGTGGATGGAAAGATTCCAGTTTACTGGACTGGTCCGTGGCTGGAGCTGTATCCATCCCCTTTCCTCTTGTCTGTATCACGCCAGCGCCCTGGGACGCTTCTCCTTCTCAGCCTCAATGGGCCCTGCTATGATACCCACTCCTCCGCATGAATCCTGCCAGAGGTGCCTCCCCTTGATCTCTGGCCAGCCCCCCCGGATCTCCCTAGAAATCTGCCCCCAGCCCTGCTCCCCATGCAGATACGGGTTGGGTGATCCTGGGTGCTAAGAGCCCATTTGAGCAGTGCGGCTGCGTGGTCAGTATGGGAGTCACTGGGCCCCATCACAAAGCACTCTCCCCTCCTGCCACCCGCTTGCAGAGAGCTTCCTGCGAGCCTGGACTTGGGCTGAGTGTGTGCAAACTCCCCAGGGAACCTGGCTTGTCTCTTCGCAGGCGCCCCGGGCAGCTGGAAGAGTGATGGCTGTGAAACCGAGAGGAGCGATGCAGTGACTGTTTGCCGTTGCAACCACCTCACCTATTTTGCTGTGCTGATGGTGGGTACCGGCTCCCATTCCAGCTGTGCGTCCTCCCTGCGGATGTGCTTCCGCGGCGATGTGCAGCGCGCTACGCTGGGCTCTCACCCCTCCCCTCCTCTCTGTTCTCAGGTGGCCTCTCCGGAAATCGATGAAATCCACCGACAGCCCCTGACCATCATCACCATCATTGGCTGCGTTACCTCAGCCGTGGCTTCCCTCGTCACCATCATCTTCATCTGCTGCTCCAGGTACTGGACTGGCTTGGGACCGAGAGTTAGCGAGCAGCCTGAACCTTGTACCCTGCTGACCAGTTTGCTACCCCGGGTGGGTAGCATCCCCTTCGGTTGCCGTTACACACAAACTGGTCGTGATTTTCTAAAGGGGCTAGTGATAATGGGGGGGGGGGTCCAACATGAAACATAAGAATGGCCATACAGGGTCAGACCAAAGGCCCATTCAGCCCAGTGTCCTGTCTGCCGACAGTGGCCAGCACCGGATGCCCCAGAGGGAGGGAAAACAACAGTTAATCCTCACGTGTTCCCTCCCCTGTCAGCCATTTCCAGAGAAACAGAGGCCAGGGCCACCATTCCTACCCATCCTGGTTAACAGCCATTAATGGACCTAACCTCCATGAATCTATCTAGCTCTTTTTTGAATCCTGTTAGAGTCCTGGCCTTCGCTGCATCCTCTGGCAAGGAGTTCCATGGGTGGACTGTGCGCTGTGTGAAGGAAAACTTCCTTCTGTTTGTTTTAAACCGGCTGCCTATTCATTTCATTTGGTGACCCCTAGTTCTTATATTGTGGGAATGAGTAAATAACTTTTCCTTATTCACTTTTTCCACACCAGATGTGATTTTTATAGACCTCATATCCCCCCTTACTCTCTTCTTTTCTAACCTGAAATGTTTAAGTCTTTTTAATCTCTCTTCATCTGGGACCTGTTCCAAACCCCTCCTCATTTTTGTGGCCCTTTTTTGAACTTTTTCCGATGCCAAGGTATCTTTTCTGAGACGATGAGAGATCTTTTTGAGGCACCTGAAAGGGACCTGATATTCAGGAAGTGCTGAGTACCCACCCCTGGAAACCAGGTCCCATGAGTGGCTTTTCCAGAGCTGCCCATTGTTTTTGATAATCTTGACAGCCCCACACAGCTGTTCAGCAGCGTGTTAACCGAGATTTCCTGGATGAATCGGGCTGGATGCGGTGGCCTGCACACCAGGTCCAAAGGCCAGAAGAGATGTAGCTTCCCAATGACACACCGGGCCCCAGTTCACTCCCCCTGGTGTAGTTACCGGCGGTGGAACATCACTAGAACTCCTGCGTGTGTCTGGTTGGGGTGAGCTGCTTGAACCGAGGTGCTGGGACCCCACTGTGGGGTTTTATGGGCGCTGAGTCTGAGACCCCCAGACAGGACCAGGAGTGAAATCTCCGCCTCTCCCTTACCCAGGAGGAAGCCCAGACACAGCACCATAAACAACATCCACATGAACCTCCTTGGGGCCATCTTCCTGCTGGATGTGAACTTCCTCCTCACGGAGCTCTTGGCCTCCTCCGGCAGCGAGGGAGTTTGCTGCGCCGGTGCCCTGTTCCTGCACTTCTCCCTGCTGAGCTGCCTGGCCTGGATGGGCATTGAGGGCTACAGCCTCTACAGGCTGGTGGTGAAAGTCTTCAACGGGCAGGTGGAGAGCTTCCTTCTCAAGCTGTGCTTGGCCGGCTGGGGTGAGTCCCAACGGCGGCAGAGGTGGCCCAGCGAACTGCAGGCCTCAGGACTGTTTACCCCGCGAGGCCTCTCCCCTCCCAAGGTTGAGGCGATTTGATCAGTCTGTAGGCACCTACATGCGGCGACGGTTTCTGATAGCAGGGGGCTATGGAAAGGCATAAGAAGAACCAGGGTCTGGAAGCTGAAAGGGGAGAAATTCAGACTAGGGATGAGCCCGCTCACTGGTCAGAGTTGTGCCTTAGCCATCGGCTACTACGGTATCTCCATCGCTAAGGCACGGCTGGCTGGCTCTGTGTAAAATACGCTGTCGCGCAAGCACCAGATACGGGCAGGAGCCACTGGCCGAATTTCTTTGGCCTGTGCTATGCAGCAAGTCACATTAGAGGACCACAGTGGCCCTTCTGGCCTCAACACCCAGGAGCTTATAAGCAGGGTGGACCCGAGGGTCCAAAGGGCTTGTCTCTGCTATGTGGGGGATGGAGGTTGCAGTGATCGGTCCATCGGCGGTCGATTTATCATGTCTGCTTAGATGCGATAAATCAATCTCTGAGCACTCCCATCGACTCCAGTACTCCACCAGGATGAGACGAATAGGCGGAGTCAATGGAAGAGCAGCCCCTGCCGAGGTTACTGCGTGGAAGACACCGTCAACTTTAGCTTCGCTATTTGCGTAGCGGACATCATGTAGAGAGAGGGACGAGGGGGGTTAGTGTAGAGCAGGCCAAAGCAGCACCCAACCATACCGGTTCAATGCACCGTCCTCAGTCCGCCGCTAGGGTGACAAAGGGCATGGGAGAACATCATGGACAATTCCTGTGGAATAGTAAGGATGGGCTCCTTGTTCAGGGACATGCCAGGATGGGAACTGGGGCTAGGAAAACCTCCTAATGCTGTTCTCTGCATCCAGGGATTCCCTTCCTTATGGTGGGCGTGATATTCCTGGCAGATTGGAAAAATTATGGATTATTGCACATTGACGTATTGGACTCCCTAGGAAATTCCACCAGTGCAGCCATGTGAGTAACTGGAAAGGTGTCACAGCGTTCCCGGTCATACTGTTGCAATGCCCCTCTCCCGTGAGTTGAGTTATGATGAGCACCTTGGATCAGACTGGAATAAGTTGCCCAGGGAGGTTGTGGAATCTCCATCTCTGGAGATATTTAAGAGCAGGTTGGATAAATGTCTATCAGGGATGGTCTAGGCAGTAGTAGGTCCTGCCGTGAGGGCAGGGGACTGGACTCGATGACCTCGCGAGGTCCCTTCCAGTTCTAGTGTTCTATGATTATAGCTCCTCTGCTGGGTTTCCCCGATAATCTCTTCTTGCTCCCACCAGAGCCCCAGCATGCAGAGGTCAGCAAAGATCTCATGACGTAGTATAGCAGTACACCTGCCGGGAGACTGGCCCCCTGTTAGCTCAGAGCTCTGGCAGCCTGTTACCCACGCAATAAAAGACTTGACTCATCTGCCTTTCTCCTCTCTCCAGGTGCTTCGTCACAAACCAGCTGGTCCATAGCATAGTGAACATGGGCTTCTTCAGCCTGGTGTTCATCTTCAACCTGGTCATGCTGGGCGCCATGGTGTGGGCCATCTCCCGGCTGAAAAGTACAGGCCAAAAGTGGGAGCACGCCTTGTTGCTCCTGGGGCTGAGCCTCGTGCTGGGCATCCCCTGGGCGCTGGTGTTCTTCTCCTTTCTCTCGGGAGCAGTGAGGCTCGTCACGCTTTACCTCTTCACTGTCATCAACTCTCTCCAAGGTGAGTGGGCGGTGGCGGACCTGCTTTCCCCATCGCGCCCTCTGCTGGCAGCCGGGGATCCGATGTAGGCGCTGCCCCCTATGTTCCCTGTAAGCTGCACAGCCATGCAGTGGCTCAAAGCTTCCATGTGGGCAGGGAGCTCAGCTGACTGGCCGGGGAGGGGGGCATCTCTGAGCAGCTCCCAGAGCAGTAAGCAAGTGAGATAAGGAGAGAATAAGTGGCATGTGAAGGGGGAGAGAAGGAGCGAGCGAGGGAGTAATTAATTAATTGGTTGGCGGGGGGAGTCAGAGTGGAGGGAAGTTCGGAGAGTCCCACGGCTACATTTCAATGAGGGAGGTTAAAGTGTTCCCCAACAGGTTTTTGTGTGTTGCCTTTTCGGATAGCTGATTTTTGTCCATGAATTTTTTCATATAGGGACTGTCTGGTTTGTCCACTATATATCACAGTGGGGCATTGCTGGCATTTGATGGCATAGATCACATTAGTGGATATGCAGTTAAATGATCCTCTGATTTGGTGGCTGATGAGATGAAATCACTTGTAGACGTGTGGGCCGAGTTGGCACCGGGGTTGATTGCAGGCGTGAGTTTCTGGATCCTTATGATGTAGCTGTGTGGCATGGTTACTGGAAAGAATTTGTTTCAGGTTAGGGGGTTGTCTATAAGCAAGTATTAGTCATGCTCTCCTTGCAAATACTATTTCTAGTTGACTCATAGATTTGTTTAGCATCTTAAAGCTGAGCTTTGTGTGGATAATACGCATTTTAGAGTGTATACTAGCCTGAGTGGTTAGAACGGTTGAAGATACATATACTGCAAGGGTAGTGTTAATTTTGTTTTTATTTAATTTCATAACAAATAAACATTGTAAGCATTGCTCCTTGTTAACTATCCCTTGTCTTAATATATCACATGCACACACTACCTCAGGATTAGTGTTGCACATAAGGAAAATTCATCTTGCCCAAAAGAAAATTCAACCCTCCAAAGGATAGAAAGTGTTAGCGGGAACACTGGCTGTCACCCTGGGACCAGTGCTGGGGGCACATGGCAGAGGGGTCTGGAGGCTCTCGAAAGAGCAGCAGATAGATTTCTCACAAGCCTGTGGCCAGTTCCTCCCTGTGGAGGGGAGCTCCCTTCCCTGGTCTCTCGCTCTGTGCAGAGATGGCCCTGCAGGGCCATGGGATTTTCTGCAGGAGAGCGACAGCGGGTTTCTACGCCTGCGATAGTGCCCTGGGGCCACACAAGGGTGCCACCGGCTAAGGATGGAGACCGGGCCCTGCTACCTTCAACTAAGACTCAGCTCAGTTCACCTGACGTGGCGTTGCCGGCGTGCTCCCTGGGAGTGGCAGCAGTGATGGGATGGGATGGGTGTGCTGGGGGTGACCATGCGCGGGCAGGGCGCCCATGGCCCTGTCCTGCTCCCTGCATTGCCCCTACCCACTCAGTACTCATCCATGTCTCCCTTCTCTCGCAGGCGTCTTCATCTTCCTCTGGTACAGGACGATGGTGTGGCAGGCCAGAAAGCCCAAGTCCTACTTGCAGAGCACCTCCGACTATGACAAGGTGCAGCTTAGCACCAGCCACACAAGCGACTGAGTCACCCGCTCGCTCTGCTTGCAGCTGGGTCTGCCTGTGCCTGGGAGCGGTCAGCCAGCCATCAAGCTCCCGGCGGGGGGCGGGTAGACGCATCAGTGACGCTCTTGCCTTGCTACACGTGGCCCTGTGTAATCACAAGGAATCTAGAGAAATTCACACTCCCCCCTAGACACAGTCTGCCAGCATGGAGCTGGGTACCCGCTAAGGGCACCACTGCAGCTAGGTGTGTGTCTGCACATTCACAGCACTGTCCAGGAGTTCCTCTGGCCAGTCCAGACGGGGGGACCATGGTGGAGACGGCGGTTGCTGTGTGGTTCTTGTAGTGGGTTTGTCTACCTGTTGCCCTGTGTAATTTGCTGGTGTCTTTAGTTCTTCCTGTAGGGTTAGAGTCCCAGCTCACTTCAACGGCTGTGAAAGCCACGGCCAGGTACTTTTCCCCCTTCCCCGGCAGATCTGGCTCACCCTTAACCAGGGTTTGGTGGACCATACTTGTGGTGTCTTCAGAGGCTACTGCCAGTGACAGATCAAGTCTCCAAGGGAGAGCCGCTAAAACCAATGAGTAGTCAGGTGGCACCTTCAGCCATGTCTACACTAGGAGATTATTTTGAATTTACTAAATTCGACTTCTGGGCACCTGATTTTACAAAGTCGTAACTTCCTCACTTACGAATTTGACAGTGCGGGAATTATTTCGGACTAAGGGTCTAAAGTAGACCAGGCCTTTGAGACTAACAAATACATACACACACACACACACACACACACACAGCTGGTCCCCAAGTTATGGACCAAACACTTGGCCATAACTCGAAGTGTTCGTAACTCGGATCCCTTTGAGTTACATGGCGACCGCGCTGTTCGTAAGCGCAGATCATGTTTGTAACTCAGGGACCGAATTTAGGACCGCTTTCATCGTAAGTGCGGATGGTCATAAGTGGAGGTGGTCATAAGTCGGGGACCGGCTGTATATCGTATCATGAGCTTTCATGGGCAACACCCACTTCTTCAGATGTGCTGGTGTGAATCGGTAAATATTAAACCAACTCTTACACAGAGTCAGTGGCTGCTGCTTTGCTTCTGGATACAGTTCAAGGCACTCACTTTAAAGCCCGTAAGTTGGGTAACCTCTCTGTCCACATTCCAGTATGCCCAGCTATCTCCTCAGCCGCAATGTATCTAGCCATTCGAAAGGGATGCACCTGGCTCTTGGTCCTCTGGTCCAAATGAGGGTTGGGCCTCTGGGCCGGTGTCGTAGGAAGTGTGTGAGGGCACAGGGCGGCGTCTGTCACTTTTCTGGGGGGGTTGCTTGTAGATGGTGGCGGGGAGATGCCTATTGCTGGCTATGGTTGCCATTTTGCACATGCACCTTGAACAAGTGGAAAAGTGCATTTTTAGACGCCTCAGACAGGAATAAATAATCTGTCCAAACGCTGAGAAGCCTCGCTCCTGAAATACAATAGCCTTGGGTGTTGAATGCTTCTATTTTTCTATGATGTCAAATCTGCATTCTGCTTATTAAAGCATTCTTACTCCTACACAGTCTGTCCCCGGGGTTTTGTTCGCTACCTAATCCACACCCCTGCTGTATTTTTGAGAGATTTTCAAAAGTACTCAACTGAAGGCTCCTAACTCCCATTGCCTAAGTTGCCAAGGGGATTTAGGCACCTAATGTCCAATGATTTCCATGGGACCCCTTCGAGAATCTAGGTCAAGGTATCTAACAGCTCTCTGTGCCTTTAGAAATCTCCCTTGTCGGTGTCTCAGTGGAGGGGTCACAACAGGGAGGGTTGGGGTTTTTTTGGAGGAATTATTTTGCTTCTCACTTGTGTGGTCCTCACCTGATTTTTCTATGGAACAGTGGCCCCAGACTGAAAAAGGGTTCCATAGGCTGCACGCCACTGCCATAAAGAAAGAAAACATTGAAACCTTTTGTGCTGGACGTATTTAACTTGATTTAAAATGAAGTTTGATCAACTCACATGCGAAAGTTCAAACACTTAATTGGTTTAATAATTTAAATTAAACCGTTCTCCCCAGCTGCAGCACTCGCAAAATGGCTCGGGTGTAATTATTTAATTAACAGTGAGTTTCCATTAGCAACGGGCAGTCTGCGGAAAGGTTTGGAGAGGGCAAGCAAGGGGTGGGGCCTTGGGGGAGGGAGGGGGTAGATCCTGACTTGCCCTGACATTTAAAAAGTGGTTTTGGGTGTAAAAAGGAAGGAGACCGCTGATCTAGACCATGCTTGGCCCTGCCGTGAGGGCAGGGGACTGGACTCCATGACCTTGCGAGGTCCCTTCCAGTCCTAGGATTCTAAGAAGCTCCCTCCCAACTGCACGAGCCTCCTCAGCCAGCTTCACCCGGCCCTCCGGCAATCCCTACCTGGCCGGCTGTAAAGAGCGGGTAGGAAATACCTCAGCACTCGGGACGGGCTGGTGGGTTCCCTGCGGGCCTCGCAGTCCCGTCTCTCCCCTGCTCAGGGGCATGGAGAGGGGGCAGCCCGGGTGGGGGAGGGGCAGGGCGGAAGAAGTTGGGCCAGTCGATCATCGACTGCGTCACGGCCACCCAGCACCATGTCAGAGGCTCAGCCATCTCCAAAGCCGGATGTGGGGGTGTTGCATGTTGGGTGTGCAGGCGCTGGGGGGAGTGGTGCTAAGATGGTGGAACCGGATTTAGGAGCGGCACGTGCGCTTCTTCCAGTGCTGCCTTCAGAGCCTGCTGGAGAGATCTTTGTCCCTGGAGACCCCAGGTACCGGCCGAGCTGCTCACCCGCACCCTGCTCCTGCCCTCTGGCCAGACACCCACCCGCACCCTGCTCCTGCCCTCTGGCCAGACACCCACCCGCACCCTGCTCCTGCCCTCTGGCCAGACACCCACCCGCACCCTGCTCCTGCCCTCTGGCCAGACACCCACCCGCACCCTGCTCCTGCCCTCTGGCCAGACACCCACCCGCACCCTGCTCCTGCCCTCTGGCCAGACACCCACCCGCACCCTGCTCCTGCCCTCTGGCCAGACACCCACCCGCACCCTGCTCCTGCCCTCTGGCCAGACACCCCCCCGCACCCTCATCCTGGTCAACAAGCCCCCAATTGGGGCCCAGCCCCATCTCACCGCAGCATCATAATAGCTCTGCACACACCCCAACACTCCAAACCTGAGTCCATCATATACCGCAACCCCCTGCCCTGATCCCCCTCATACTCCCACATCCCCAGCCCCCTGCCAGAACACCCCTGCATCCCACACATACCCCAAACCTGTGCTGAGCCCATTATACACCCAAACCCCCTGCCCTAAGCCCCTCATACACCCCAATCCAAACTCCTGCACCCCCCCATCCCTAGGCCCCTCCCATAACACTCCCCACCCCCCCCCACACCCCAACCCTGTGCTCT